TAAACGAGTTACAGTTGAATTTAAATGATTACTGTATGCTTTTTTTAAAATACTTTTATGACATCTATTTTAATTGTTTGAAAATCAGTTGGACCTTAAATTAAAAATTTTAATCACATTGTAACTTTTTGCAAACACCAGATTTTACTTAATCCCATACATGGCATTTCCTAAATCTCAAAAACCTTGTACATGATCATATGCAAGAAAGTTGGATTAAAAAGAGGGCATTTTTGGAATTTGCAAATTTAATAAGTGACTTTTAAAAAGAAATCATATTAGACGTTAATCAAGTTAATATTAAATGCATACAGAAAGATAATTGATTTTGATGTAAAGTACTCAAGTCCGAAGCAAAAAACAATTATAATTATCTTTAAAATAGACATATATTTGCAGACTTATCCTGAACTATGGTGTTTTTTTCGAAAAGCAATTTGGTACATAATTTATTTATTTCATTTAGACTTGTTATATAGTTGATCGTTATATGTTTTTTTGTCTGACATTGCATTCGAATTGTCTAGAAGGGTTCTCGCTACAACCGGACAATTAAATAATATGAAACTATTTTCTATTATTTATAGGTTTGTAATTTAAATATATCAATACTGTAAATTGTAAATAATTAATAATGGTTTAAATTGGCTAATAATGTTTTTAAAACATGTTTTTAAAACATGTTTAAAATGTTTTTTTACAATGAATTATAACTACTAAGTAGTTTTTTTAAAAAAATAATATTATAATATTATAATAACAATTTGTTTGGAAATTGTAAAGTAACTACTACGTATTAAATAAAATAAGACTTAATTATATATATTTTCATGTATTACATTTTTTTTTTTTTTTTCTAATAAAGTATTATCATTATTTCTTTTCCTGTCGGTCATTTTTCTAGTCCATACCTAACATTCTTTCATTAAACCTGCATAGCATGTTGATATATATATTTACAAACATATGGGATGTGGCCTTTGCAATAGAAAGGACCGATACTGGGGACACTTGAAGAACAGTTAACTCAGTGATCGACGATCACATGATAAACATATAATGACGTAATTTGTTTGCCAGAATTAAAACAAACTGGCCTAATATACCCTAACTCTAACCCTAACCTAACCCTAACCTAACCCTAACTTAGGCCGAACACTTGTCATGTGATGTTGTGATGATCATTGAGTTAACTCTTCTCCGATACTGCCCAAAAATGAAAATCGGGTTTTTGTTATATTCAGATAAATTTCGACACGGGCTACATTTTTCAATTATAAATGGAGTTGATTTGTATAATAAAAAATTGAGATATTTAAAAAAATTTCTTGGGAGTTTCGTACATCACGGGATTACCTGATATAACTGTCCAATCAAATCAAAATCATCATATAGAATTGAAATTGTAGTAAGCTTTACCATATAAATTTTTCACATAATTATATCAAATGAGTAAATATTTCTAATAAAGTATTAGTAAAATTTATTCATTCAAAGTTCATTAATGTATAAAAAAAAAAAACATTAAAAATTTTTATTATTAGGCCATACAAAATTTAATAATTGGTTTTCATAACATTTAAAATTTTTTCTCATCCGCCCAACTACTCTGATTTTTTTTTTATTTAATGAAAAAATTTATTTTACAGCTATTATCATAATTCCTGGGCACCTGTAAAAATTTGCCGAATGATTTTTCGGCAGATCCGGTTAAGTTATATATTTCGGGAATAATAAGATTCAGTAACAGATATATCAAATACGTAATTTAATAAGATCAGGTGACTAATATATATTACAGTAAGACTAAATATTACTTGTTGCACTTGTAAGTCAATCCAATTCTTTGGCATGATCCATTTTTGCTTAAACGATGTCTTTATTCATTTCTAATTATTTTTCGACGAAAATTCGGTTTTAAAAAATTGTATAAAATTTCTTTAGCAAGATCTAATTATTTTTCGACGAAAATTTGTTTTTAAAAAATTGTGTAAAATTTCAATTCCTATCCTTTGGCAAGATCTGGCCAAATGATCTGCAAATTTGACCAGAAAATTTGATTGACGATGATGTAGATCCACTGATATGGTCTCATGTCATTTTTATTAGCTAAAACATTAAAAATCCTAGCATCGACTACAGTTTTAGCCGGTCGGTTAAATATCGACTACGACTAATAGCCGACTATAGTCGTAACCGAACCCATTCCTAATTGCAAGATAAAAAAAACAGCAATGATCATATACAATCCGACTTCCTTATCTATTGAGTTCCATTCGAAATTTTTTTTCTCAATGGATAACCAAATTGCTAAACCTGCCTAGCTTTATCAGTTTGTATAGGGGTTTAACCTCCGAACTCTTGCCCTTACCCTTACCCTAGAGTTCAAAATTGATATTCTAGTGATTTCATTTAATAATAATAATAAATCAGACGTTACATTTGCTAATACGCAAAAGAACCCCGATTCCGGAGGTCCTTCCTTATATGAATTTTTTTATTTCACAATTATTAAACTATACCAATACTGATATGCACTTAGTAGTAATAATGAATAAGGTGTAATTGCGTATTAGAATATACTACCTATTATAAAGAATTCCCACAGATATTACAGCATTCGTTATCTTTTTGACTACATACCAACTTGAAAGTTTTTTCAATTAAAAAAATGCAAAATTAAATGTAGGTTATAAAAAACTAATTATAAAATAACTAGTTCTTAAAACAAAACAACTTCGACGCTTATTCCACACGAACTACATGTTTGTGTTGATATTCCAGTTTCAGGATCTTCAACCGCCACTCCAAATTCATGTTTATGCTCTTTGTATCTATTCTTTTCTAACTCATCAGTTCTTGTACGCTTTCGAAGATCTTGAGATAAAATTTTTATAAGTTTATTATACAATTGCAAGATTTTTAATAATCATAACAAAATAATAATATAAATTATATTTTTATAATCATGTTACCTGCAAGTTTTGATTTAAATTTTTTGTCCTTCCTCTTTTTTTTCTCATTCTGACGTCTCTCAAATTCTTTGTCAAGTCCTTCAGCACCACCCCATTTTTTAAAGGAGAATTCCTCCACCTTAGAAAATGATCTTAGCTGAATACGTAATACAATGAACCATCGTGCTATCTACAGAAAATACCTGTTCTCGAAGATATAACATCATGTCATTCCAAGTCGATTTGTGTGGGTTTGGTTTTGACCAATGTGGCAAAAGCTCTTCATCCTTTAATTCAGCTAATATTCGATTATTAAGATTTTATAATGGTGAAAAGTTCAAGTAACTAAAGTGAATTTATGTATTCTCACCATCATTTAATAGGTAATCCTAATAATCCAACAATAGAAAAAAAAATTTTTGAAATATTAATTATTTTCATTAAATGAATTTTATGAAAAAGATTTGCAAATTTACCTCCTTTGCCTCAGTCTTTGTTAGTAAACTAAACTTTTCGGGAAACTTTTCCTTGCAAGCTTTACAAATATCTACTCGAAATGTTCTATGAAATTGATAATCTATTTCTACAGTGTTGCATTCTTTACATCTTGGAGTGTCAGAATGATGAGGGTCGATTGCTAGATAAGTAAGAAAATAAATTTTAAGATCCAGGAGATACTACAAAGTTCTTAAACAATTTAAGAAGGCTAACGTGGATCTTCTGGATCGATTTCTCTAATCTTTCGTTTTTTTGAATTTTCATCTTGATCTTCAAGTAGAAATCCGCCACGAGTATTTATCATTTTAGAAAAATCATAATCCACATAATTTTGAAATTTTTTCATTGGACGTAATTTTTCCTCCTGGTTATTTGCATTGGTATTATTTGACGAATTTGTATTTTGCTGTTCAGTTTGTTCAGTTGACGTTGATACTTGAGAAGTTTTGTTCGAGCCATTTTGCAACCTCCTTTCCAACTGTATGTCTTTTGCTTTGAGACGATTCTCCTCTATACGTTTTTTTATTTCCGGAGACAAAGTTGAATAAGAAGGGATCTCTGCTTCAGGACAGAAGCCTCCCTCAGTATTTGAAGTCGTTTGGTTTTGATCAGCCATTTTTCTATTTCTGAATATATTTTGCCACTGCTACGTACGTATCGCTAAAAAGCTGTGCCTATCTGCTGTGTAGGACTATATATATTTACCAAAATTACTTAAAGCACATGATTACATATTCATGAATTTAATTGGTTAACGTTAAATTATTAACGTTAATTTTTTAATATATGTATACAGTATATATATATATATATATATATATAATATATAACGATAACGATAATGTTGAGAATGCTAAAGTTTTAAATAAATATATATAATATAATAATAGCTTTTGTCAAAAAGTATAAGTTATGAATAAATTTTCACACAGTAATTATCAAGAACGAAAGAAAATTTACAGGCAAGTAAAGTTGGTGAAATAAAAGTCGCTGCTAAGTTTTTCAAAACTTTATTAAACATTAAATTTTAGTCAACTTAATCCTTAAATCCTTTTATGAGTCAATTGATAATAAACTGGTACACCAACAGCCGCTACTACAGTAAAGCCTTGAGCTAGTACGCGAAATCTTAAAAATCTCTGCATAGTTTTTGAGTCACCTTTTTGATATCCTAATGTTGCTCCGGCTAGAGCTAAAACTGTCAAAGTCAAGCCTAATCATTTTTTTTTTAAAAAAAAAAAAAATTAATTCAAATTTATAAGTTTAATGAAAGCTTAAACGAATTGAACATACCGAAAGGTATCAAGGGTTCATCTTTAAGTTTTTGAAAGAAATAACTATTATAATTATTTTTTTTATAATCTATTTTTTGTGGACTGGTGGTGTTCGGGTCTGGTTGTGCCATTTTGAAAGTAAAAAAGAAAAAACTTTGAGTGACTTTTGTCGAGTAGAATCTAAATCAGATCGTGAGAATAGATGTGCACGTAAATTTAAGTTACACGAGATACGCAATTGTTGGATCATTATATACTGTACATAGCAAACAGTCAGTAGTTATTTTATTACCTCTCTCAAAAGCTCTTTCATCGTATGAGTTTAAGCATTCGAATCAAGAATTATTCTTTCTTTGGCGAAAAAATGCATGACAGTGTCACAAATTTGAAAGTGTTTTGTACGTATTATACAGTTATAGTTCTCTAGATAATGATCTAGATCTTGATCTTGATTCTTGATCTTGAGTATACCGCTTCATTTATTTCACTTAGAACAACGATCGTGTTTATATTAAAAATATTTGAGCCGCAGATGGAAACTAACCTTATTTATACTTTTCTGTTTTCCATTTGTTCTAGTAGTACCGGTACGTATCGAATTTAAGCCCTTATAAAATATTATTATTATCCAATCTAATATGAAGCTCGATTTTTTTTGGCAAACTTGTCCAGATGATTGTTTTCCTACAACTCTTACGGCCTTGTCGATGACTTTGCAGAGATTTAAGTAAAGATGCTGGTGAGATAATTTCACCATTATTGGTGAAATTGGTGAACCTAATTTCTACTCTCAAGCATTTAAATTAATAGATCGGAACTCAATTTTTAATTAGAGGAAAATATTTTAGCTGGTCATTGCAATGAAGATGATCGAGACCATCTTTCTTTACCATAAAGTCACGCTTATCGGCTAAAGTTTATAACCCGCATTTCACTATGAATCTTCAGCAAAATTTTCGTAACGATGCTTCGATTAATACTAGCAAATCACATTGAGGAGATATTTGAGAGCATCTTTATAAATTAAGATAAGCTGTTTATTTCTAATTTATCGATTAATACATTACATTGTGATGAATTACGCGTATTTTTATTTATTAAAAGTAGAAACCCGAGATGATACTTTGAGTTGTGTTTATTTAGAAGTTTACTTTTATTGGGCATCGTTGATCTCCCTAATTTATACCTGGGTATAAATCATGACCTTCAAGAATTATATACTCAAGTTTTAACTTGCGCTCTATTCTAGAGTGGTATCGAATAGATTTCTGTGGATTCAAATCGCTTCAATGGATTTTGAATTTTAGAATCACAAAATTGTTGTTTCTTGAACGATTTGATTAGTCAAAGCTCATATTAGATCAACGTTTTTACTTAGTTAATTAAGTGATTAAGCCGGTTTTTTTTAAAAAATTACAC